CACGATTGTTGTTGTCTTGTCCTTATGCACACAAAGAACAAAACCTATACCCTTACAAAAGTTGTACTGTACGGAGCCGACTAGTCGACTATTTGTCCACCAACTTTAGGTAAGGATGTCTGCTCTTGAATAGTGCTTTTGTACTATTCACTGTAGCAAATGACAAGCCTTCCTCTTAAGGCTTGACATGCACTCTAAATCTACCATATTGCATTAAATGGACATTTAATGCACTGGGTATAAATAGAAGTGTTTTTTCTCCATGCAGAGAGCGCGCATCTCTCTCTCTAACCTAATTCTTACTTCAAGCATCTTCTAACTTAAGTAGAGGATCTTTTTTTTAGCAACTTCTATTTTTGTAATTGCTAAAACATTATGTGTAACCAAAGATTGTTTAGATAAGTTTTTATTACCTTATCTTTCCGCAAACAATCTTGTAAAATATGTATTGATCTTCTCTATCAATATATATTTTAAATTTGAAAATATTGTCCCCCCTTTCTACAAAATGTTTCTCTTCTTGTAGACCCTTACGGGACCAAACTTACACACACACACACACATATATATATATATATATATATATATATGTATGGAAGGTTTTAAACGAGAACACCTTCATTTTACGATAACGCGAGAACACCCTTTTACTATAGACAATTACATGTGATATTATTATTTCATCACATGTGATACACATGTGACTAAATCAGAGACGCTGGTCATTTTCAATGTGATCTTGGTTGCGGGCCAAGTCGTCCTTACACCACTAAGCCCCTCACAAGTATTATCACATATGATAAGAGTGTTGTTGATATGATACTATAATTCATCAAGACCATCACATGTGATGCTAAATCATAGACGCAGACAACCTTTGGCGCGATCTAAGTCGTAGAACACGTCTTCCGCACATCACAGGGTCCCCTCACGCGTATTATCACATGTGATAAGGGTGTTCTCGCGTTCTCGTAAAATGGAGGTGTTCTCGTTTGAACCTCCACCTATATATATATATATATATATATATATATATAAGTGTGTGCGTGTGCATAGATATAATGAGGTTCAGCTGTTCAAGAGAAACCCAACTCTATCAACCATTAGACTAATTGATTAAAGAGATGTGATTAAACATGAGGTTTATAATAATATCTTTTAAATTAAAAAAACCTCACAACCCTTATGGTTATTAAATTGAGTTCTAACAGAATACTTAATTATTATATTTATAAAATGTTATATTATTAAACCAAAAATAAATTATTTCATTATTAAAATTAAATTAAATTATAAAAAAAA